CACATAAATAGAGTTTGCAAAGGGTTTTTGCGATTAATTACACAATTTATTTCATTTTTGTTCCTTTTATTAAAATTATGAATAAAATATTTATTGTAGGGGGAAAGTAATTGACCCGCAATTCTCTCTCTCACTAATAGGTACATTTTCTGTAAATAACATTTAATTCTGTTGCCAATAAAAAAGAGAAATAAATAGCTTCGGCTTTACAGAAACTTCAATAAATCCCACATAATTAGTTATATTGAAAATAAATTATATAGATTTTTTATAGAATACATTTTTTTTTTAAAAAAAATTAAAAATAAAATTATTATTTTATTGTAAAGTGTAATACTAAAGCACTTCTAATAGTGTAAACTTAATTTCGGTAGTTACTTTGCATGCGGCCTGCCCCATAGGTTATAGATAATTACTTTCTAATATAGTGGTGATTTGATCTGTCTAGGTCCACTAAAAATCCCAGGGTTAGTTTCATTCGATTAGCTCAAAGACTTATAAACTACCTCACAGATGGACCAATATATGTCCCCTTTACCTATATGCCATAGATCTTTAAAGTTTAAGCATTTGGAATTGTATTCACAAATTATTCAAGGGTTGATAACAGATACTTACTTAATTAGTATAGGTATTGTCAAAATATTCAACAAAATATTTCAACTTGAAAATTTCACAATTCAAAATTTACTTCGCATTAAAAAATGTTGTTTTTTATATTATTATATATTTTTTTCTGTTATTTGGAGTGAATCCCGCAAATACAGTATTGACGATTTTTTTTATTATTTCAGTCTGTAGTTGTCACACACTACGTACGTGACAATTTGTCTAAGTTTTATGGGTGAATAGTTTGGTTTTACTCTGGGTTAGTGACAGGATCTCGGAAAACTTGAGAGAATTTTAATGAATTGCATTTAGTTATATCGAAATGCAATCACAAATTTGGAGTTGTTTGAACAAGAGTATCAAAAAATTAAAGTAAACAAACAATTCTGCACACTAATTTTCTAACTATATATCTTATATTCTTTGCTATTGTACAAAACTAGTATATGCCATGCAAAAAAAATTGTTATTTGTGTTATTCTCCTACGTCTATAAGTGTAGCGAATAAGATGTGAATACCACAATGATTAATAGATTTTGAATGAGTGAATGCTTGAAACTAAAAGTGAGTTTAATACAAATACAATAAGTATATATATATATTGGTATATATTCTTTTACTTGTTGTTGCTCTACTTAGTATGCGTCGCCAGTATATTGTTCCTTTATGTCGTGCAGAATGTTTTACATTCAATGTAAGTATTGTGATGGAAATGCTTAAATATTTTCAAGTTTCTGTAATATGCGATATATATCCCTACTGATTAATTTTTTCCTTTCAAGCTGTGAAAGTAATAAATTCAATCTTCAGAGTAGTTGAATTGCAACTAATCGCAGATCTCTAGAACTACTCGTAAAGCATTCTGTATATTTGTGAATAAAAAGCAAGTAAATGAATTATTTGAATGAGTAAGTGTTTGGATATAAAAAGGAACTTCATCTAATAAAATCAAAACAGACAAATAACTGAAGGTTTAAAATCAAAAGATTTAATTCGGGTGAATGAAATATGATATCATTCCCTTCATATAGTTTTGTAACCTTATGTGAAAATTGAATATCTAATTTAATTTATTTTAAAATTATGTATAAATTCTTTGTATTTGCTTATAATTGTCAAATTACTAATAAATTAATATAAAGCGTTTATAGCTATAAGCAAAAATTTTTACGCTTGCAACGATAAAACAGCTTTGAATAATTGCAGAAATAGTTATTGAAAGATCTATAGAGTAATTATATGAGTATATATGTACTATGTACATATGTATATATAAATTCAGTGATTTTTAATGACTTGCATTTTATGTATTTTAAAGAAGTTAACATTTTGTTGCTTTTCTATAAATTAATTTGTTTTTATCCACAAAACTGTAAACTGGTGGCTATTGCGATATATCTAATTACGCAAATATACAAAATTTATTATTAAATTAACACCTCAATGATTAAGAAAAAATGTGTAATGCTAATAATATTTGAAAATTTGAATTTGGTATCTTATTTTAATTGGTAGTTAAATCAAAGATTGTGTTATCTATTTCTAAGTGGATATAATCTGATGAGATCGAATTAAAAACATCAACAAATAAATTATATGTATATTATAGTATCTATAGGTATTCTTTGTTACATTTAGAAATACAAATAATCAGTTATTTCTCATTCAATACTTCTATATGTACTGTATTGGACGTAAAATTACTTGACGTGATCGAAAGAAAAGCTTTTAGGTTTTAATTAATTTTCATACGTATATATTTCCAATGATAGACGTTTATTATGGATATTTAATCACGTATATATATATTATAGTAGTATTGAAACTATTATATGCCTTAAATGTATGTGTATAACGTTATCTAGTCAATAAAAATATTCAGAAAATTGTTTATATGACGCAAATAAACAACATTTTTATATCGAGTAAAACAATAAAATTATTTGTTAAAAAACTGAAATGGTAATAGAAAAATGAAAAGAATTAAATTAGTTATTGTAAATAATTTATTAACAATATTTTTAAAGAATATGTAAATTAATAAATTCCTATACTATTTGTATTGTATTTAGTACAAAATTAATTTTTATCATTGGACAAAAAATTCTTAAGTAAAAAATTAATTAAAAAATAACAAAGTATTTTACAGGATACATGTCTTGTATGAATTCTGTTATTAATTATAGATGATTAAAAATGAGCATATAGTAAGTCTCATTGTGAAAGACTTCTCAAAGTAGTAAGGTCAAAGATCAAAAAAGAAAATTAGCCAAAATCATTGTATAACGCTGTAAGGATGCATTGTACCTAGACAATTATCACAGTTATAAGTGCATGGGTGCGATAGCAACATCATTATAAGTGCAATTGTGATATAAAAAGAAATTGTTAAAAAATATTTATAAATTGAAGTTGTTAAAAAAATCTATAATACTCCGATCAATCACTACGTTGTAACAATAATTAACTACTATATTGGTCTTTTTATATTAGACCCTACTGATTTGACCGTAAAGGTCGACGGGATCTCATTAATGAATATAAAATGAAAAGTTTGCAACGCCTAAGATTAAAATTAGGAAAAGGTGTACATTATATAGAACATAAAAGTAAGTTAATGTTGTGAAATTCAGCTTCCTAATTCATTAGAAAGTTAAAAATATGCTTTATTATTTGTATTAGAGTGAAGGATACTCTTATTTTTAATAGAATAGTATGTAGAAACAACATAGAAAATAGAACAAATTTACAGCAAGAAATCCGCGGAATTTTAAAAAAGGCTACAGTTATATTATAGAGCAACTATATAGTATAATAAAATCAAACAAAAAATATTAAAATTCAGTAAGCATATCTGCACAATTGAAATGACTGATAAAAGGTTGGCTGAAACAAGATAGAAACAAGTTTTGTAAAAAAATAGCAGTGTTTACATTATAAAACAAAGGCAAAAACCATGGGTTGAGTGTTTGGACACGACTTCATACACAGATATAATGAGTTATTTATTCAAGTGGTAAAAAAAAAACAAGAAGAAATCGTTCTAGGCAAAGTATAACCACAAATGAATAAGTTGAGATTCGAGTGGACATCAGGAACAGAGTTAGATTGGATTATACCGTCAATCCATAAGATCCAAATAGGCCTATTGGCTCATTGTCGAATCGTATAAGAAACTCAGCAACTGAGTTACGACAATAATATAAACAGAAATACCAATCAAGCCTTAATTAATATAGTGAAAAAAAATTCAGAAAATTGAACGATTTATTTTGAAATAACAGTTATAGTCTTAGTTGCTATATTGGAGTGTTTTGACACAGCATGCTCCGAATTTATATATAAAGCTATAATAATGAATTTATTTAAACAAATTATTTTGTATATTTTTGCATGGATTTGGGTGAAATAAGACATTTATTGAGTTGAGTTAAATAGAGTTAATTGCGAAAGTGTAAACGTGAAATTCCGATTTTTATTTAAGAGCAAGTTGGAAATCGGTAGGGTTCGCACGGCCATATATCATATGACAATATTAACATTTTATATGAATAAAGATCCCATTCTCATAAGATGTACAATAAATAATTTGAATTCTTTGATAATGTACTGTTTTATAAGGTGTATACGTATAATAATACAACTAACTAATAACATATGACAACATTACGAGATATTTCATATTACCATTTCAAGATATGAAATATTAATTGGAATTTAACACATTGTGAGTCTCAAAATAGAATGGATACATAAAAAAAAAAAAATATAACAGCTGTCATAACCCGAAAATCTAAAAGGAAGTTAGAATATAAATAACAGGATATGGCATATTGAGGCTGATAACAAGTATGGTTGCTAGATTAAACGGTTAGTAAATAATGTAAATCGAATTTGAATATATACATTTAATGTAGAACATAAGACAAAAATAACTAAGTGTTGAAGGAACACATGTTTAAGTTTCAATGACGAAATATTAATTAAATTGATAACCATTATCAGTTGATTTATAAAATATAATCTATAAGTATGTCAGTACTTCCTCACAATACTGTGCTTTCATCTATTTATCAAATAATTTTAATGTTTATTAAAGTAGAATAAAAGAGATAAGCTTGAAGTAAACTGACAAATATTTTACATTTATTTCTTATTAATAAGTTTTTGTTAAATTGTAGAAAATAGCGCTCTTTTAAATTAACAAACGAAGGTCTGAGCATAAACGTTGATAACGTTAAAGGATTAATAAAGCCAAAAGATTAAATATTTAAACAATATATATGTATTTAAAACAAATATAATGAATTATACAATAAAATCAGGTTTAAAAGAAATATACAAATGTAAACACCCACTCAAAGAAAACGTTTTAAAAATTAAAACTTACCTTTTCATAAAACAACTCTTGTTAGTTTCAATTTCTCCTTTTATTATAAAATTTTCATTAAAAAAATTATATAGTCGTTTTGTTTGTATTGTTATGCATTGATAAATACTTTAATAGAATTTTTTAATATACAGTACAATTTATGTATAAAATACTCGTTATTAACACAAAAATTGCTTTTCACAACAAATTCAATAAATTTAACAATAAATAAAACAATAACATTTATAAACACATCAATTATATATTTTTATTTGTATCTCATTTTCTCATTAATTTCTTTTCGATTTCATAAATTATTTGTTTTAATTTATTTCACACATTTTAGTTTTTAATTCAGCATACCAAGAAGATCAAAAGTCAACGCAATATCCAAATAAATAAAATAAAAAGAAAAACAAGAAATAATGTATGAATCCAGTAACAACTTGAAAAACCACTTTTCGCTGTGTCTACTTTATTTAACCACTATTTCATATATGAAAAGAGAAATCTCCAAAACAAAAAACATAACAAAATACACAAATCTCCAGAACTTCAACTGTGTCATCAGCGTGAATGCATTTTGGTCATGTGTCAATTTCTTGTTGTAATAGCACCGATATATTGTTTACACTTTTAAATATGCATTTTATTAACGAAACAAAATCATATAATTTTTAATTTTACTGTATAATTAAAAAATAGTTTTATTTAATTTGTTTTATATTAGCAAATAGATTTTTTTTCTTATCAGCCAATCAGTATTTCAGATTTTACCGTGAGCGAACCCGCAGATGTCTATTTTGCAATAAATCTACTTCACCAATGCAAATTGTACCGGAGAAATCTACAACAAAATATATTCAGTGTTTACAACCACTCAGAAAATTATGTAGTCAAAATACTACTATTTTAAATTATTACTTACTTGTTAATATTTACTATTATTTTTACTAGAAATCAAATTTATTTATTTAGTATATATAAAATTACTAATATAATAATCTCATATACTATAATAATCTTATAATTACTTTACTAAGAGACTGTACATATAATATTTAACGAATAAATAAAAAATTCAAATTTGAAAAGCACCGATTTGATCATTTAAAGACTATTAATGTTTTGGTCTATTAATAGGCCTTTTCGGTGGCTCGCAATACTGATAACAATATTCGTTGGAGTTTCCAATGAAGGTTCACAATGAAGGTAACACTTTTTTTTGACTGGCCGATGTGTTTGGCCAGTATACCTATACTGGCCGAGATAGAGAAAATAGTGTTGTTGTTTTGCATACATTTCGGCCGGCAACTTACCGAAAAGGCCTAATATATTAAAATTTCTTGGTTTTGAAATGTTAAGGTCTTTATGTTGTTCTTTCACAAAGATAGCATCGTCAAAATGAAAAATATTTTTTATAACGAAATTGTATTTAAAATTTTCTAAAATAAAACAAAAAGGTCAATAGCGTCCAACAAAATTTAAATTGATGTTTTTGTTGCATTTTTCTATAAATTTTGTTATTGCGTCAACGCAATTTATTACAAAAACAATAATGTAACGATAAAAAAAAAACATTTTAAACATAGAAATAACATACATTAAAAATAATGATTACAATCTAACAAAAAAAATTTTTTATACCAATAATTATATTGTAATTGCGATAAATAATAAAACATATGTGCATGGAATGAGAGGTGATATATTTTGTTGGTATAAAATTATATTAATAGTTTATATTAATAATGTATTATATTATATAAATCTATGTTTCCATTTGTCTTATTTAAGTAGTTGTTCTCATTAAGGCCATTAATGACGATAATTTATCATACAAAAAGCTTTCATATAAATTAGCTTAATATAAATAAATCAATTGATTTAAGGCGGAAAATGTCAAAAACAACTTTAAAAAATAAATTTCTCACTAAGAAAATGATCAAAATTTGAAATATTTATCATATTATTTATATCTAAAATATAAACAAATAAGTTATTTCACATGCATAAATCAGTTTATGCCAATAGAATCTATTTAATCAAGAAATATACAGAATTTTATTTAAATAGATAAAATTTTTAGAGTTTGTTGGTCTGCCTTTCATTATATGACATAAGTGTAAATTTAAAATTCAAATATCTTAACTATGTTGACAATTAATTTTTAATTATTCTACGTTGAAATCGATATATATCTTTTATATTAAAATTTTATATATCCAATTTAATTCATATAATTAATGACAATTACTTTAAACAAATTTTACAGTTTACTCAACATTTCACAATCAAAGGGAATAAAAAAACATATATCGTTTGTCAGGATTTTCCCCCCAAATGATAATTGGATGACAAATATGAAATTATTTAATATTCAAACTAATCGGTGATCCTGATTTATTTTCAATTCACCAAACTATAATTATCAGTTTTGCATGTAATAAAGTTAACACTAAATATTTTGAAATACTAGATACCTTTCTTCCAATATTAAGACCTTGACAGGTTTTTTCAATGGGTTTTGACTTAATGCTAAGTTCTTTTACCCTGTATAATAGTAGCTATTTAATTACAAGCAAAAAAAAAAAATTTGATTATATAAATATGTCCGAAAGTACTCATAAATATCGATCAGTACAGGTGTATACCATAGGGATATTCACTCTATCTTGCAAACTTATTGCAAGTTGCACGAAATGCATAAATTACGCGAGCTTGTAATGGACAACAACAAAATACAAGTACAAAGTTTCTTGTAATTGTAAGAATTACATTATTAAAGTTTTAATTAAATTTTTTGTAACACTTACAACTAAACTCAACTGTTACAAGATTATAATTCTCATATTGTTTGTAGATATCAAAGCATATAAAGTTGTGATTATTACAATCAGTAATATTATTTTCATGCTCCGAAATCGTTCATTTCTTATTTTCAAATACTGGTGTTTAAAGGTCTGGAATGTGCTATGTATATGGTTTGCTGTATGCTGTTTCAAAATTATAATTCTTATATTGTTTGTAAATATCGAGGCATATAAAGTTTTTATAGTTATAGTGTAATGATGTGGTGCTGATGTTCCTAACTAAGATTTCTTATTAAACATAAAAGACTAATTTTTGAAATTTTAATGCTATAATATTATAATTTATCTACTTATAAACTATCTAACTTGTTACTTGATACTCAATATAGTAAATATACGGATAGTAAATATAGTTCGGATACACAAAACAATTTTATTAATTTCATACGTTAATACGTTAATTTCAAAATCAAGTAGAAGATTTAATTATAATTTATTTATTGTAATTAATGATTTTAATCATTAAACATATAGCTTATATGTGTAGATCATACTGTAGTTGTTTATAATCATATACAAATCATTTGGTTGTTTATAATTCATGTCTCCAACAGTCTCAAAGAAAGTAACACTTTTTAACACTGATGAGGCGAATTCAAAATAATTTGCTGTTTTTAGTTTCGGTGTAATTAGTTGTGCTCCGTCCTAGAGAGTTAAAAATTTAATTACAACATTAATTTTGATTAAATCTTTTTATTTAATTATAATTTAAATGCAATAATTATATTGAACGCTATTTTTTAGTTTTTATAGTTTAATTTGTGTTTGAGTTCAATACTTAGTGAAACAAAAGTAAGACAACTAAGAACATATTAAGTCGTGAAATTGGAACATGCATAAATATTGAAAAATTCTTTTAAAATTATAAATTATTATTATATTGACAATATTATAAACAAAAAATTGTTTCCTGTTTTAATATATGAATATGTATAGTTGTTAATAAAAGTAAAAAGTTAAAAACTATTAATTGAATGCAAGTTGAAATAAGATTGAACGCAGTTTTCGGTAGTTAGAAAACACCTATTAGTCAGAAGCACACTTACTTCGGCATAATAAACAAACACTTCATAATAAAAAACATATACATTATATTATCTAGCATAAAATATACTTATCTGACTTAAAAAAGTTTTTGCCGTCTAACAATAGCTCATATCGCAAAGTGATTCCTCAAATTTCATTATAATACATTTATTTTCTATAATTACAATATACTTTGCATAATATATATTTTTCAGTCTAATCCAATTAAAGAAGTGCACTGCCTCTTTCAACATTTTTATTCAACGTGCACTTCAGCACACACTTGTAGGATTTAATATTAAGAGCGTTAGTGATGCTTAATTTTCGTCAATATACCCAGTAATTGAATGGGGAGTGTCAATGAATATCACATATGAAAATGAACAAAAAAATTCTTATTTAAATAGACCTAACATATAAAAAATAAGATTAATATTTTTAGAATGAATTAAAAATAAAAGAATTATAATTAAAAAATGTTTATATAAAATAAGAGTTAAAATAATTTTTTAATATAATTTTAAGTAATTACTGATATGCTTTTTTTCTTTTCAGCAGTACTTATCATAATAATTATTATTATTTCCTGTAAATGGAAAGTCAATAATATTATTGGTTTTTTTTATTAGTAATTTCGAAACTAAATAAACTTATAAGGTTCCATTTCAAAAAAAAAAAATTGAAGTAAAGGAGCTCACGTCCAAATGCAGAAAATGCCCTCACAAGTATTACAAGATGGCAGTAACAATGTCAATGAGATCAAAGTTAAAACTGCTTACAATGGAGAAATTATGATAACCTATATCATCAATTTATAAAAAGCGGATATACTAAGATAGATAAATGAACACCTCCGTAAAAGATAACTCTTATTTGCGGAGATTTTTATCCCATGATCAAAACTTAAGATCGTCAAAAACTGCAAAATAGTGTTGCATTGATCCATTTATTCAACTACAACAACGATAGTGATAATTCATGAAGAATGTCAAAGTTTTTTTTTTTTTGTTTCTTATCGTAGCCTTTTAAAAAAAATTCAAAAGAACAAAGAATTATATTATTATTATTATTATAATGTTGGCTAGTAGCTCAGTGCACTGGCACATTACTTTCTATTAAACGAATAATCTTGACGATTATTTGTTTATAACTTATCAGATTCTGCCTGACCTCCCCATGAATTGCACCCCCATTTCTGAGATTTTCAATTA